GAGTGGCAGTTGTAGCACATCATTTTTCTGTCCTGTCACAGGAAAGTGTTAATTTTGAAGCTATGAAGTGATTGACAGGTCTGTTGATCGAGATAGTTAAGTCTCTGTAGAAGAGAAAAGGGTCATACAGTGATCTAGTGTCAGATGTGCCTGTATATTTGGACTGAAGACACCCTGAAATGAATGGAAGTGAATGGAGAGCTTCTGTCAAATGGTTCTCTTGTGCAAGAGCAGCTGTCTTCTGGTGCAAAAGTTGTTTGTTCAAGAAAGAACATTTTTAAAGGGATATTTTTTACTATATATACAGAGATATAATAATGTATATATAACATTTCTGTATTATGTATCTTTTAAAGTTCCTTTTAGAAGCCAGCATGAAAGTCAAAGTCAGTGTATGTGAAAATGTTAATGGATATTCAGCTCTGTGAGTGAATCACTACAGAAAAATGCTGCACTCAGATTAGATCTGTCACTGGACTATAATGACCATTCACTACTGGACATACACTTTAGTGCTGCACTGAACTGAACATCAACATTTAGTCCAGGATTAAAGTTGATCTGTATTCTGGAATCGACCTCTAAAGCTGTTTTACTCACAGTAAAGAAAATAGTCTGTAGAGGTAAAACATTTACAGAAATGAGAGAAAAACATGATGTTTCATTGTGTTCTCTCTCCTCAGCCCCTGTTACTCTGGACCCCAACACTGCACATCCAGACCTCCACCTGTCTGATGATCTCACTGCTGTAGAAAACAGAAACCAGAGATCATCACTTCCTGATAATCCAGAGAGATTTGATGAGTGTCCATGCGTTCTGGGTTCTGAGGGTTTTAACTCAGGGACACATTGCTGGGACGTCCAGGTTGGAGACTGTGATGATATCTGGTATCTAGGTGTGATAACAGAGTCTGCAACAAGAAAAGGAGGCTCTTTAAATAATTCAATATGTAATATGGGCTACAATAAAAGCAGTGATCAATACTGGATACACTGTCCAGGACAGTCAGTTCACTCCCTCACACCTAAAAAGAAGCTGCGGAGGGTCAGAGTGCAGCTGGACTGGGACAGGGGGAAAGTGACCTTCACTGATCTTCTAACCAACAAACACCTGCACACTATAACACACACTTTCACTGAGAGAGTTTTACCATATTTCTATAACTGGTCTCGTGGTCGTCTAAGGATCTTACCAGTGAAGATGTCAGTAACAGTGGAACAGCACAGTTAAAGTTGATGCTGCTTACAATGAACATTTATACAGGTAGTGAGTGTCTGAATTATGATCAATAGTGAAAAGACTATGAAAAATCACTAAGTAAAAGTACTGTTACTGTAGTGATATTTACTTGAGTACAAGTAAAAGTATTCACAAAGAAAAAAACACGATACTATGAGAAAAAAAGTGCTGAGTGCTGAGACTGATCACTGTGTACTTTGTTAATGCACATTTACACATTTCTGTAAACTGTGTTAGGAGCAAGGCTTACATTGAACTACATGTTTTTCATTGTTAGATTATTACATAAGGCTGTCTGGTTTATCTGTTTCCTACAAAGTATACAGTATCCCTGATTCTGTGCAAAGTTGGTTACTGTTTAATTAAGGCTTTGTGACAGAATACTTACTCTGTTTAATAGAATACTTGATGAGTGAAAATAATGAGATTACTCAATTAATAATGTAACTTTCAGTTACAGTCCTACTGCACATTGGCTCCATGAATGTTAGCTTATACCCATAACTGATACCCATGTAGAACTTTTAAAACATTAAAATCATTAGCCACAGCAACAATTTATACAGTGTTGATTTTCTTAACTGTAATATATTCTTCTCGTAATCATAATACTTTTACAAATCATGTATTTTACATTATTTGACAGTGAAAATTAAACAGTTAAACCACCTCAAACACTGTTTAAGACACATACAAAGGCAGAAAAAGACAGAGAGAGCGTCAGGCTGTCTTCTGTGGTGAACCGACAAAACAAAAGTCAGATGAAGTAGAATCTTCTGGATGCTGAGATTGCAGAGTAAATGTATTTTTGCAAATGCATTTTTAACTAAGTGACTGTGTAATGTAAATATAAACCTTCACAGTCTTACAGGTTATGCACTTTTTAGATGCTCCCTTAAACAGTTACACCTTGGTGTTTTGCTTTTCGGTGCCTTTACATTCAGAAAAATGTACTAAAAGAGTCTTTTGAAATATATTTGGTTGTAGTTTGTTCTCCATGTTCTCAGAAAGAAAGTGTAGGTGTGGTCATTTTTGCACATTAACTTCATGAAAATTCAAAGAGAGAAAGTCCAGCGAATATCCAATATAGTTTTCCCACAATGGACAAATGTGTGGCAAATAAAACCCCCACAACACAGTGAAAAGGTGCTAATCAGATGTGAATATTCTATAGGACACTCAGTACTTAATGAAGTCCAGCAGCAGTACTGACCTCCCAAAGATGGTGGTGTTGTTGACATGCATGTCTGAACCTGAAGCAGCATCTATGTATGTTTATCCACGATGTTCACTGTCTGCTGTTTGTTGTTTAAAACAATGTTCTGATTCTAGAGGCAAAACTGGCAGCTTTTTCAGTGAATGACTGAGGATTTTTTTGTGCATTGCAGAGGTCTGAACAGCTGGAGAAGCTCCAGCTCCAGATCAGCACCAGTCCTCTGTCAATAAAGTTGCCTTCAGCTCCAAAACCAATCAATGCTGAAGCAGAGGAAACTCTGATCTCCAAGGCAATTTCACTGTAATCATCATGCATTTGTCTTTATTTGCAGGGTGAACTGAAGAACTCACCTCCAGCAGAGCTAGTACATCACTAGCAGAGCTAGTACCTCACAGACATAAAGTGTGCATATGAACTGCTCCACCGCAGTGGAAGCATAGGGAGTGGGTGTCAGCTGAAGAAACTGGTTAAATGAGAGTGAAGACATAGAAGCAGCTGTGGCTGGGGCTGGAGTTTCAAGGGAGGCTTGATACTGAGTATCAGAAAGGGGCAATAATGAGCTAAACCTCCTAAAATAATCAGTGCTAGGTTTCCCCAAAGGAATCTTTCCACAAAGCTGATTTTTTAAATGGTAGAGGGAGCATTGCAGCAAACACTCTCTCTAGCAGTTAAAATAATCTTAAAACTAAGATACTTTTGGGAGACTAGGCCCAGATCAGTTTGTTCATTCTTTGTAAGCACTAAGGAGAGAGAGATCTCTGTAGGCATTCAGGGGAACTGTTGGCTGCAGATGTGACAGATCTACAACATCTCCACTGTAAAGCCGTCATATTATAATACATAATATTAGCATATTTGTAAATGGACAGGTATTTGAGGGCAGTGAGATGGAAAAGAAAGGGAAGAGAGACATTTTCAAGGATCAAAACTGCCAGCTATTTAAAGCTGCCATGTCCAGATTCCACCAATCAGCAGAAACAACAATAATAATATGTAATAGAAAATCACAAACAACAAACAACAACAACAACAACAACAAAAGAATGACAATAAATTGCAGTGAATGTTCATGTGTCATTAAGTATGGAAATTAGTGCATACAATTAGGAAAAAATACGAGGCAAAAATACTTTTCCAGTCTTTCTCCATGTTGTGATTAAGTGGTTGATTATTTAGAAACTCATCACCTCGACTCATCTGAGAGCTCCTTGTTTCAGGTTATTACTGAACTGCTGCCATCTAGTGTAGAAAACACACAGTCAGAATAGAGCATCTGACTGACTCCTCCTTTTCAAAGCTCCTCCTCCTCTACACCTCCTCTACCTGTTGGAGGAAGTGAATCTCATACTGTCACTCTGATCTTTATTTATTCTGCATTCACTTCACTCAGAGACACCAATGAGGAGCTTTTAAACAGTGACTGTATGTGTTTGTTTCTTGATGTGTGATTCTGAAAGGAGCTAAAACTCACTCAGTGGGTTGAAGGGCTACGGTGGCTGATTCTCAACTGTGCTGCTCTGATCATTACAAGACATCTTAAAAGTGGAGTTTGGAGTTGGAGAAACAGCACAGCAGCAGTTGGAGGAAATGGCTGCTAGAAACCCTCTTTCAGAAGAAGAGCTTTCGTGTCCTGTGTGCTGTGACATCTTCAGGGATCCTGTTGTTCTGTCGTGCAGCCACAGTGTGTGTAAAACCTGCCTGCAGCAGTTCTGGGAAACGAAAGGATCTCAAGAATGTCCAGTTTGTAGAAGAAGATCCTTAAAAGATTTCCCTCCATGTAACCTTGCATTGAAGAACCTTTGTGACTTTTTTGTAGAGAGCAGGAGTCAGAGATCTTCAGCAGGGTCTGAGGTGCTCTGCATTCTGCACAATGAGAAACTCAAACTCTTCTGTCTGGATGATCAGCAGCCTGTGTGTGTGGTGTGTCAGACTTCAAAGAAACACAAAGATCATGAATTCTGTCCAACAGATGAAGCTGTGACTGATTTTAAGGTAGGACACTTGTTCTAGCATTTTTGAAATCTAAACTATAACACAACATAAAATGGATGAACTTTTTCTCCATCAAAAACCAGATTAACCTGTTATGTTTGTACAACATGATGTCTTTCAATGGGTGTGGTTTCTACTCAAGTAGCAAATAGCACAAGTGATTTATTAGTCACAAAAATGCCTTGTTGCTGAATTCATTTGTTGTGATTTTACAGAGAGTAAAACTTTCACTCTTTCCTCTCAAACTACAGTCTGATTGACCTCCAACACATTTAAATAATGGACCTAATAAATATTATACAGTGTTAAGAATGCATTTTGCTAAACTGTTGTTTAATTGCAGGATAAACTCAAGACTGCTTTGGAGCCTCTACAGAAGAATCTGAGAGTCTTAGAGGAAGCTAAACAAGACTATGACCAAACAGCAGCTCACATTAAGGTGAAACATCATCTTGAATTGTGAAACATGTTGCTGAGGTCATGTTTCTGATGAGTATCCACTTCTCCTGTAGGTGGTTAATGCTTGTAGATCATCTGTTAGAGGAGGAAGATTGAGGAGATGAATGGAGAAATATCATCTCTTTCAGACACAATCAGAAACATAGAGAAGGAAATGGAAGCTGAGGACATTCTGTTCTTACAGGTGAGAATAATTCATTCTGCACCAAATGATACCTCCTCATCAAAAGGATAGATGGTGGCCAGAATTAGTGGATCTAAAAAGTTTAATCAAGGGTGAGTGTTTTGACAGGGTATCAGGTTCATGCAGCACAAGGGCCTGCTTAGTAGAGATTTTTATCCTGAACTTTTTTAGGAAATGCAAAACAACAGCAACCAACATGCATAGTTTATCTTTTCTAATAAATTCCTTCCAAAAATTAAAAAATAACAGCTTTGTACTGAAATTAATCATAAGTATATAAGTATGTCTAATAAGTCAGAAACAATACTCTATAATACACAGGCTCTATCATAATCCATAGAATTTTATATGCTAACCCAGTAATATAAGCAGAAATAACTCTCTTGTGCACTGAAATAGACATTAACTTTGATATTTTGACATAGCCATTTTAGTTTTGTAGTAAAAAGGCATAGTAAGTACCAAATCTACACACCAAAATGTTTAACACAAGCTGACATTTTGTAAACTTGCTTTTGAGTTTGAAAAGAGGTAGAAAATGACACGCTCTGCTCTGCTGCAGTCTCACATTTAGGCACATCTGTTGACCACAGCTGGAGCTTTAAACTCAAAATACCCTACACATAGCGATGATTGCTCAGCAGGGCTGAGAATCTTGAGACAAATATAACAGCAGTTCAGAACAAGTGAATGTTAACCAATTGATTCATCCTAGAGAGAGCTATTACAGAATATTCGGGGCCTTTTTCAAGTATATATATATATAAAACCTTCAGCCTTGCTGTGAGTTTTCTGTGCCAACTGATTGTTGACCAAGCTTCACTGATGAAGTTTCAAGGGCATACTGAGTCTCTTCACTTTTAACTGCAATGTTCTTTTAGTATCCCTTTCAGAACTTCAAGTCTACACAGAAAAAGTAAGTAAATGTCAAGCCACACATTTTATTTAATGTTATTAAATATAAATGTAATTATTTGATTCTATAATACGTTTTATTTATTGTAAATATGAGTGTATTATAATGAATTAAAATTTGAATAAGGATTGTGTGTTAATGTTGTAGTGATGAGAACAGTAGCAGAAATATTTATTCGTCAGAAACTGCAGAATTATTTACTTGAGTCAATAAATGTCATAAAATATTGATATTTAGTGAAATAAATTACAGGCTGTAAAGTTTCTACAGTGATATATTTCACACAGTCTTCTATTTTCAGAGCTCAGCTCAAACCAAAGGATCCAGGTAAGACATCAGGAGCTCTGATCAATGTAGTGAAACACCTTTCCACAGTCTGCTTCTGCACTAATGACACATTGTTTATAAACTATTAGTAACATGTTATCATGTTCTCTTTATTCAGGGTGTAAAAAGGACACTGAAACTGTACTTAAGTGAAAGTATGAATACTGTACTGTGCAGAAATCTCACTCAGATAAAAAGTATGGAGCTAAAATTATACTTGAGTAAAAGGATGAAGTATCAATGTTTAGACACACTCAAATAAATCAAACTAAAAAGCACATTGTTTAAAAATATTTTTTTACAGTTAAGTATAATTTTTATGTCAAATCATTTCTAGTTTTTGCAAGTGTGTGGGGGTGGGGGTCCTCACCCAAGGGGGCTAAAGGAAGCCCTCTTGCGAGTGCCAGCGAAACTAAGGTCATATCCACTCAGTACTAAGCCCCTGTAGCTCAACTCGTTACCAGCTTGGGAGAGGACCCAAGGGAGCTAAAGTAAGCCCTCATGCGAGTGCCAGCAAAACTAAGGTCATATCCGCTCAGTACCAAGCTGTGGCATGGGATCAAAGTTAACAGAAGTGTCTGTGAGGATGTCAGCTTTGTGGTTAATTTCTTTGAAGAAGTCCCAGATAGCCCCTTTTATCACCTCCAAATCTTTCTGGCTCAATACGGGTTCATTGGATGTACTGTTGTCCTGACCTGTCCAGGGTGTATCCTGCCTTCCACCCAATGACTGCTGGGATAGGCTCCAGCTCCCCCTGCGACCCAGAAGGATAAGCGGCTTAGAAGAAGATTGTTGTCCTTATGTGGGTGCTTTTTTTTTCTTCCCTCATCAAGTACATCAATTTGCCCCAAGCATGGGAGTTTTGGTAGGGAGTCTTTTACCCCATTCTCGCGGGGTGGGCAGTTTGGGTGCTCTACCAAGTTGTTCTTGGCTTTGCCCTAGCTCTTTGTCCTGGGATTTAAGTTATGTCACCACCATGATAGCTATTTTACCATGTTATTGGTTTACCTGTTTCTCAGACAGTGGCCACATACCCCAAAAGTACAGCCTTAGTTATGTCTGTTAAAACTGAGTCTATCTCATTTAGTAGATTTCTTCCACTGGAGGCTAGGGACTGGAAGTTGTCCGCCATGTCGCCTAATAATTAGTGAGGTAGTGGAGTTTGATTATTGACTTTGTCCCGTATTATTCAAATCAAGCACTAGCCTGTAATGGATTTGATACCAATCAGCACTTATGTAAGAGTTTATCAATACTGTGCAGATTTCAAATGCTTCTGCACACAGTTATCTATAAAGTGTATGTCTATCCTAGCACATAAATTACACATTGGGATTAAGGTAGGCTTATTTAATCTCAACCAGCAAGGAACTTAACAACTATCACCAGTAAGAATTATAGTTTCACCATCGGAATACCAGTGTGACCACTCCTAATGCCACAATTCCAGCCGTACAATCACACAGTGCCATTCACCTGCAACCAGTGAGTAACTCCACTAGGCTGGTGGAACACTGGACAGGTGGGACCCTGGACTGGCAGTTAAAGTCCTCTCGGGCTGTTTCAAAATTGGACACCCCAGGGAGGTGTCACTTGTATCAGTGTTCACCTTGGGGTAGACTCAAAACTGACCAGCCATGGATGCAATAACTTGAGTAGAGGGTACCTCCAGGTGGTTTGGCCAAAAAGGGAAGAGAGCTCAAACCCAGGGAATAAAGACCCACATTGCTGGATCCAACTGAGCCAACCTTCAGGGGTCAGATCAGAAGGGACCAGATCCAGGTGCAATAAATCTCGATATTGAAAACTTTCTACTAAAGGTCACACCAACTGCCAAAAGGGGAAGACACAAAATTGAGAGAATAAAAGCCCACGTTGTTGAGTCAAAACTGAACACCAATTAAATTAACATTGTTCACACTACTAAGCAAAAAATAACACTTAACACAACACATGAAATTTTAATGGGTTAAACTATGGTTTGCCAGAAGCTAATGCCAAGCTAACCAAATGGTAATGCTAGTCAGAAGGGCTGAATGCTGACTTGTTTTAATAAAGCCATGCTCTGCCAAAGGCAGGCCTCAGCTATGCTAACAGCAGACCTCGGCTACACTAACAATAGACCTCGGCTATGCTAACAGCAGACCTCGGCTACACTAACAGTAGACCTCGGCTATGCTAACAACAGGGAGCTTTAAATGTAAACAAAGCTTAACCAAAGCTAACACTAAGCAGCTAACATCAGAACAATGGCCCTAGTGAGGAATGGTGGATGTAAACAAACAGCTGCGTAACTGCAGCAGAAATAGCTGATGGTTGCCTCACTTAGAATGGTCAGCAGAAATTGTAATGATAATATGTAGCAGAACAAGTTTCAATTATGTTAATATTGCTTGACTCTCAAATAAAAAGTTGAATTTACCAAAATCTACAGATCAAAAATAAGAGAGGTAAAATGCTCACACCAGGGAGGCTTCAATGAAAAGGGAATAATGGATAAATAATGTAATTCACAGTTAAAATATTATGAGACAATATAGCTTAAGGCAATTTCTGGGAAGCCAACTGAAAATGTAGGCGTGAAAGGGACCTCCAGTGAGTTAATCTAAGTATGGGCATATATAGCTTTATGGGTATGTATGTCTATCAAAGAATATTAACCTATTAAATAAAATAGCATTGAAAACCTGAGTGCATAAAATGTGAGCACCGTCGAGAAGACAGACTTCAAGCCCTCCAGGAGGGGTCACTTGGGAGCCATCTTGATTTGGAGAAGCACACGTGCGGGTGTCTCGAGGCTGCACAAGGATGCATGGCTGCGGGTGAAGTTCCGAGGTCTGTGTGGCAATCAGAAGATTGTGGTGCAATCAGGTTTCCGAGTCTAGTTGATATTAACCTAACTCAATCCCTCCATTTGGCTGAGAAGAATTTGAAGTAATCAGTCGATGCCCGGTCAGCAGACTGTTTCATCTTCCTTTCCTTTCTTTGAGCTCAGAACTTAACTGCCAAAATGCATTGTGCTTGGGTTTTGATTGGCTGTAGGCCCTCCCCTTTGGAGGTGGAGCCAGAGTGCAGATAGGTCCTTCTCATGTAAAGAGTAATTAGCTATTCATTGTTTCCAACTCTGATTGGTAGTGCATAATCTATGAGTGCCTCTCCAAGTATCACACCCTACTTTGTTTTTAAATCTTAAACTGTTATAAACCAGGCAATGATATGCCATTTACATACCATACCAGTTTAGGAGGATTATTCCTTTAAACTTGCAAAACCAAACGAAAAAAACAAGCAGAACATTTGTTTATGTTTCGTACCAGATAGTTTTACCCATGTTACCTAAAAAACAACACACATATTAAAAGACACAAGTGTAGCGTGCTTTGCTGTTTTTAATTCATAAACTGATCAGAACTTTTTGAGCAAAGTGAGATCTGCATCTGCATGCGGCAGGATGTTTAGCAGGACCAATAGTAAATTTATGGCTGACTGCTAAAGACATGTCTCACAACCCCCATTTGCCCCCCCCCCGCCTTTGGCAACCTGGTGCAGAAGTGGGGAGGGGGGTGGCTCACCTCAGAACAGACCTACTTTGACCCAGAGGTCTGAAGACTTTCTTTTTCTGTCGACTAACAGTTTAAGGGCAACGTAATGGAACGTTATGCCACCCCTTTATAAACGTCCTGAAGAGACCTTTGGACGTCACTGAAGTAAATTTTGGGATACTAACAAATTGTGACTTTTGAAAATTCCTCTCCCTCTCTCTCACACCCATACATCTCACCTTCCTCCACAAAGAGAGACATCTTATCTAAAACAAAGGCCAAAGATGGCCCACCAATCAACCCTGGGTGAGGGGAGTGTTGAGACCTCACGAATCCCTGAGCAGACCCCTCGGTGTGGCCAGATACTCTTAAGTGCATTCCTTCAGTATCATAAATTTGGGGTCTGTGCAGAGGCTAGGCTCCTGAGAGCCCTGCTTTCTGGCAAATTATTCACTATGTGATCTTTAATCAAGTATCAATCAAATGCCTTTCCTTTATCAAACTGTGAAGAACACCTCTGTTACTGTTAACATGTTGCCTTGTCAGATGTGAATTGATTAATCCCTGCCGAAGGGAGCTAATACCAAACTTTCTACACTGTATTCTTTTATATTCTAGTAGTTATTTTGATTCTTGAATTGTAACCCTTCTTCACTGATCTAGGTTATTGTATTGATCTTTGATCATTCACAACTATATTCATTTCACCTATTATATAATTTTTCTTTTTCCTTTGTTTGAGAAACAAGTCTTCTTGTAGTGTTATTAGAAGCAGGATTCTAAAGTTTGTAGCTTGTGTGACTATGTACACTTTAATCATAGAGTTTCTGCCAACATATCTATAAAATTATTGATGATTATGTACTCACTTATTTTACTCTGAGTTATTATGTAACCGTTCGTGTAAGCATTGTTTAGAAATAGTAATTGACGTATAACCTTGAAATTGTCTTTTAACAATGTAATTCTTTTGTCTAAGTAGTTCCTACTTCTTATATGACTAGAATGGTTAAGGATTCAACTAATTGTATGTAACCATATTATGGTATACGTTAAGGGATAATAATCTGTAAGCTCCATAGTCATTTGTAATAGTCACTATGGAAATAATAATGTTTTATATATGAAATTGCATGCTTCTAAGTTTCTTTTACTTAAGTGTAACCACACCCAGAATATCCAAAGGATTATGTGACACTTGAGCAGCATTCAAAGAAATTGCATGTTCATTATATGCAACCTAACAAACCAAACAGAACCTTTTCCCCGCCTTAGCTCTGCCTTAGCTCTGCCTCAAGTTCTTTCTTTAAAGTCAGCAAGAAAGAGAAACAGTCAGAAGAATGAGAAGAAGAAACAGAAAGACAGGGAAAGTTGGCCCTGAAGGGAGCGAGACAGCCAACATGTAACCTTAACGAAACTCGAAGTAGAGAAGCCTGTTCTCCTCGTTTTGCACTTTAGCCAAGTTCTGCAGATCTGAAATGTTAGTTGTTTGTCTTGTGTCTTAATCCGTTTTGTTACATTTACTCAGTAATCTTAAAGTGTTGTAACTGTAAGGTTAGACTATTGAAGAGTTGCATCTAGCTGTGTTTGTTTTTCAAGTTTCGTCAATCTATTTTGAAAGTCTAATTGCCAAAGATTGGCCGCTCAGAACCTAGTTTTAGAACAGAAACAGAGGCAAAACAGTGCTGACCGAAATCCACATCAAGAGCCTGCTCCGACCACCACCTGCCTCCATCGCCAAGAAGAAGATCTGCGCTCCTCACCGGAGAGGCCGCCAAGTGTCGCCGGAAGCCTGCCTTGCCAGTGGGGTCCGGTCCAAAGCGTTGACCAAGGGCTTGCACCTCTAGCGGCCTTGCCTTTGACCTGCAGACCCCTCCTAGCCTGTGTGAGCAGCGGCTTCTCTTCCTCAATGTGGCACGTGCACCAACACGGCTCTGAGGCGTCCAGCAGCTTTGACCTTTGACCTGCGGACCCTGCTCCAGCCCATGCCAGCCACGCACATCACCGCAGCTCTGAGGCATCCAGGTCGTAGATTCACTCACACTGCCCTTTTGTGGTCTCAGTCTCACTGTGATTTTGCTTTTCTTTATTGACACTTAGGCCAGCTTTACACTAGTGTTAGGGTTGTTCTGCTTGCTGCTCAAAAGCCACATAATTTGGAAAATCAGTTAATCTTAGTACTTTTGTTCAGTATTTTCAATATCTCTGTTTTTTTTCCATAACTAGTAATCCAATATTTAGTACCTATAAACCTTTATAATCGATTGCTTTGCGTTTATATACCTCTATCAATAAATAACCCTTTATTACAGTCATCTCTGTCACGGTGTGCATATGAACAACTTCAATTTTGTTCTGTTCCCTGGATCATGGTCAAGCCCTCACTTGAATTGAATTAAAATACCCGTGTCTTACGGTAAGTGGGACATTAGGTGCTTTTGAGGCCTTGTCCCGCTACAGAAGCAACATTGTAGGTAATCTCTTGGTATTAGGTAGATTGATCCACAATATGATCATTAACTAAACAAACAGAACAAACAAACCGAAAAAAAAATGAATACATATTCAGATTACATACTCTCAGTGTTTTAAACTACAATCACATGGCTACATCAGTAAATTAGCAAAGTGATACATTGTGTATTCCTAGTGTCTAAGAATAGAAAAGATACATATTTTACAGAACTGACTACATAACATACAGGCAGTATCATTTACAAACAATATAAAATGTTGAATATTATGCATGCAATGTAAATATGAGTTTTTTTCTTTACCATGGGGAAAAGATTTTGTGACTGTGTGGTATGCCTCACTCTCACTACTTGGTGGTGCTATGGATTGATGTCTGAAATATCAATAAAATCCAGAAATGGATAACTTAGTGATAGAGTCTTGTACCAATCTCATTCTTGATGTCTTCAGTCTCCTTGAAACGAACCCTGATGAGTGATTTGCGATTTGGAGTTGATATACAAATTGATTTTCTGTTGCTTAGAGAGTTTTTGGTGAGCCATGCAGCTGGACTCCAGGAAGTTTTGTCACTAGTTTTATTGCTTCATTGTTTGGAGGGAAGGTCAAGATTGGTCCTTGACATTAGCTGTAAACCTCAGAAATTGTGAGTGTCCCTAAGGCAGTGTTTATGGCCCTAACCCAGACTTTGTGGAGCCAGGGCTCTCCACCTGTCTGATGAGCTTGCTGCTGTGGAATACAGGAAACAGAGATCATCACTTCCTGATAATCCAGAGAGATTTGATGAGTACTGGTGTGTTCTGGGTTCTGAGGGTTTTAACTCAGGGACACACTGCTGGGATGTCCAGGTTGAAGACAGTGATAACTGGTCACTTCTTGTCTGCAACAAGAAAAGGAGACTATTTCTGGGATTCAGTGTGGAGGCTGTATAATAGTTCTGGTGAATACTCTATACTCTGCCCAGGACAGTCAGTTCACTCCCTCAGACCTGAAGAGAAGCTGCAGAGGGTCAGAGTGCAGCTGGACTGGGACAGGGGGAAAGTGACCTTCACTGATCTTCTAACCAACAAACACCTGCACACTATAACACACACTTTCACTGAGAGAGTTTTACCACTTTTTCGGAACACCTCTGTCCATCCTCTGAGGATCTTACCAGTGAAGACGTCAGTAACAGTGGAACAGCACAGTTAAAGTTGATGCTGCTTAGAATGAACATTTATACAGGTAGTGAGTGTCTGAATTATGATCATAAGAATATGTCACTACATGTATATTTTAAATAATGTGTTTATATCATTCCATCCTAACATGTCTGTGTGGAAATAAAATGCTGGTTTAAAGTGTCATAGAGTGACTCCTGATATCATTACAACATTAGAAACGTTATTTGAGTGAGATTTCACTCATTTTCAGTGTAGATTTTATTTCTCTATCATCCTGCATTTTTCTCCATCATTAGATCTTTAAAACTCTGCTTTGGTTCAGAGATTAATAGTTTACTGTGTGAAATAAACTGCATTATATTATAAACTGAATGCATGTTGTGTATTGAATATTGTCCCACAGCATCATGTAAAGATCATCCAGCAGATCAAATGGAGGAGATCTGTCTAAAGCTGTGACCCAAACACACCCAGAGACAGACTGACCAACACACACAGTGTAATAACACAAATGTTATACTAACTCATAATGTAATAAGCTGCTGATAATATAATACAATCTTTATTCAACATTATAATAACACTTTAGCACATAATGTAGTGAGATGCTATTTTATGTCTTCTATCTGTTTAAACTATTTGTTAACTATTAACTGAATGACATGATAAACAAAGGTCTAGATTTTCATTAGTCCTTTCACAGATTTTCTTAGTTTCTTCAACACAATTCAGGACACAGTGTCCCTGCTCTCAAATGAACAAACAGATTGTTTACAACAACACTCGTTTACACTTAACTGTTCTGTTTGACAATTTGTTAGACATTTGAAGATAAACACATTGCAACTGAAGTGTAATAAATTTTGTTTAAAAAATGTTAAATTTAGACAAAAGATAAAACTCACAGAACTACAAATATTACTAGTGTTTTGAGAATTGTTTATGTTCAGCCGTGATAACAACCACGGACACTAATGGGGTTTCACAAATATTGTTTCAATGTTATCCAAAAATGGTATGTGTTATGTATTTTGTATTCTGTATCTATTTAGTATTATGAATCTCCTGTTTTGTGCATTTAGAATGAGGAAATGTTTGAATATATATGAATATTTAACACAACATTTTTTATTGAATTATAATTTAAGAGCTCTAATTTGAGAGCTCCTTGTTTCAGGTTGGTAATGAACTGCTGCCATCTAGTGTAGAAAGCACAGATAGAATAGATCACCTGACTTACTTTTTCAAAGCTTCACCTCCTCTATCTGCTGGAGGAAGTGAATCTCATCCTGTCACTCTGATCTTTCTTCATTCTGCATTCACTTCACTCAGTCTTTATTATCCAAATTTAACATCTGTTGTTCAGTAATAGTAAGTATATTCTTTTTAGTTTGCATAGTGAAATTAGAAAGGAAGACGCCTTGCCCCTTCTCTTTAACAGAGCTCTGATCAGGATCATCATTACAGTGATAATAATCCATTATGATAATAATCCATTATAATAATCCTACTGCAAAAAGACACATGCATTTATATAACATATTTTTCATTTTAATTTTCTTCTTCTGTCCTTCCTATCACGTCTTCCCCATGAACAAACACAAAGCACATGACCAAGAAACATCTGGGAGTAATGAGAGGGTGGGGCTATGAACTACATGCTGGTGATCCAGATGACACAGAGGGAGGACAGGGGAGGGAACACAGACCAAAACAACAACAAAAGCACATGGCAAGACACATGAGGGAAGGTAAACAAAAGGCAGACAGACACAGAACCAATGAAAGACAAGGACCAGAAGTTACAGTTATAAATTAGTTATCTCTTTGTGAAATACATGTAATTGATTGATAATGGCTTGCTTTGCAATTAATGGTTGGAATATTCAAGATTCATTCTTCATATCAACCTTTGGTTTTGGTCGACTAATGCAGATTTTGTAAACAGTGTATACAATAGCAATTAATTTATCCTACATGAAACAAGGGATAACCACACCAACTCTTTCTGTCCAAACCATTACGTGGAACCTGGTTCCATGTAATCATGGTACCTCCTACAAAGCATATATATATATATATCCAAACTGGTAGAAACTCTGGTGGTTTACTTGTGTGGTATAAAGAAAAACACAGATCTATAAAGCAACCAGGCTGGTCAGACGTGTGCAGTTAAATAGACTTTACTGGGGTTCAGGAGAGACGGATTAGAAAAACAGGCCAAGGTCAAACTCAGAAAAAAAACAAAAACAAATGAATATAAAAGAGATAAACCAAACAAACAATTCAGAAGGGCAAAGACAAACAGGCAGAGTCCAAAAACACAGGAAACAGGTAGAACAATACAAGAAATAACACTCACTAGCTCTATGGAAAGATGCATCTCGCAAAGAACTAAGCTAATAGCCTGGGATTATATACTAAATCAACAGGTCAAAATAATCAGATATGTATCACACACAGTAGTCAGGCAAAGAAGAACGGTGATTGGTTGGCGCTGGTGGCGAGACTGTCATGTGATCTCCCAGGAAGACCTGGAAGATTGAGTCCACAAAGGAGTGAGATGTGCCAGTCATGTGATCTCACAGGGGGTTCTGGGAGATCGAGTCCTTAATGAAAGCAGGGTCAGAGGGATGTGTGACAAGATCATTTATAACGCCAATCAAAAAACATTTATGGATCATAATTAACATAAACATATTAGAAAATGACAGAGATATCTATTTATGTAAAATTTGTAGACCTTCCCCAAATTCCCCAAATTATTTAGAAGACATTTTTCAAGATCTTCAGAAAGAAATAAGCCATTTTCAGAATTTAGGTTGCACTGTGGTGTTAGAAATGATTATGATTAAACCTGCATGTATATTACACATTTGTTTGAGAGAGATACCAGAATGTGTTAAACTGTTTGCTAAATGTGTTTATAGATGTTTTACATACAGAGAAATAAATGAAATGAAACAGTACTGTACACTAATCTCATGTAAATATATTATTTATTTAATTGTGTATGTATGTACATAGATTACATCTGTGCTTATGTATGTGTGTATAGACCCATGATATTATCCCCTTAATAAGTATTCCATTTGTTGCTTTGGCCACAGCAGCTGAAGTGGATGGAGAGGAATTGAGGAGAGAGATTTAAGAATAATCTGTTGAAATAATCTGTGGGAGGGAAAAACAACCTTACAGTGAACTGAGATGAGCCCCGGATCTTTACAT